AGCTGCTCGGGCCTTGCCCCCTGAGCCGGGGGTGGTGGTGGAGGAGGGTGGCTGGGTGGAGGAGCCCGGGGGTTGTGGTGGTGGTGGAGGGGGGTGGTAGAGGAGACCGGGGATGGGGGGGGGCTTTTCTGCTGCTGCTGCTGTCTCCTCCTCCTGGTCTGCCTGGAGCTCCCCCCGCGCGAGTATAGCAGGTCCCCTTTCTTGTATTTATTATTATGATTTTTTTTTGTTGTCTTACAATTGAGACTGCTATTCCTCTTCCCTCTTCTAAGCTAAACTCTAGCTTAGGCTGTAAGTATTCTTTTACGTACGTAGCTACTCCCTTTTTCTTTTTTGATTTATCCAGAATTGTAAAACATCACTCCTAATTTTTTATCTTTTAGATACTTTTTTTCATTTATTTTTATATGGGTTTCTTGGATACATGTTATATCTGTGTTTAGCTTATGCAATTGTTGAAATATTTTTCTCCTTTTTTGTGGTCCATTAAGCCCATTAACATTCACCGAAATAGTTCTAATCTTCTGAGACTTCTCCATCTTCTCTGTCTTTGTTGTTCTGTTCTTTCTTCTTATATTGGAATCTCGTTAAAATGTTGGATATAGTTCTTTCTGGTTTTCTTCGTTCTTTTCTTTTTTGTCTCTTGTTTTTCTGCAATTACAGTGGGTTGTGTACTTACTCCTGGATCTTCTTCCGATGATTCTGATGTTTCTTATTCATTTTGCCCTCCTAGATCTCATTCATATCTTTCTAAGAAATTCTCCATTTTAAAAATCGAGTTGATGTTCAATCTTCTTTCTTGATATGTGAATAACAGACCTTCTGGTAGTAGCCATCTGTAGAGAATCTCATTTTTTCTGAGTAATTTGGTCAGCTTGTTATAATCAAATCTCTTTTCCCTTACCTGCCATGGAGTGTCTTTTAAAAATTTAACTTCATTGTTGTCCACTGTCACCTGCGTTTGACTAGCTGTTCGTAGTGTTCTATCTCTTAATTCTTTTTTGTTGAATTTAATATGTACCTCTCTTGGAGTTTTATTTTTCCTAGCGTACATAGTATTTTTCCTGTAGATTAGGTCAATGTTTCTCTCCACTTCTTCTTTTGATCCCAATTCTAATTCTTCTGCTAGTACTTTAGCCATCTCCTTTAAGGTCTTTCTCTTTTCATTCTGGAAAGTTCTGGCATCTAAACACAAAGGCTGCTCTATCTATCTCTAATGAGGTTAGGGTTTGTTCTTTCCGCATTCGCTCTTAAATCCTGAAAGTCTTCGTGGAGCTCTTTACTGTCCTCCTCTATTTTTTCGCAAAGTCAGAGTTTTTTTCAGTTTCTTGTTTATGCTCTACCATTTGTTTCTTTACTTCTTCCGTATCTGCAAAGATAGCTTCCATCTTTTTATGTATGGATTCCATTTCTGATTTTATTATCGTGGGCAAAATAGATTCAACTGTTTCTTTCACGGCTTGGGTTACCGTATCCTTTACTACATCTTGCGCAGTCTGCGTAACTATCTTTGAAACCCATGTTTTTAAATCCACTTTCAGCTCTTCCATTGAAATCGTGATTGTAGGATTTGTTGCCTGTTGAATTCTTGCCTGCGTTTTGGGTGAGGGTAAAGAAGACTTCCTAGTGCCTGATCCAGACGCCATTTTTGTATTTTTAGAGAGCCTTAATTTATATAGGGCAATCTTAGTTTGTAACTGAATGTGTTTTTTCTTAGATGTAATTGCTGGAATCTATTCATAGGCTCCGGTCACACGGCCAGGAAAATGCGGGAGGGAAGTGTGGCTGTTTGCCCCGGGGCAAAATAACACGCGGTTGCACGATCAGACCTCCCATGGAGGTCCTGTGGTTAGGGGGAGGTGCAGATCACACGGCGTGGAAAAGAAGCCTATTTATTATATTCTTAATTATTTGTTATATTATTAAATTATCAAATATTTATTATTTTATTTATTATTTTTATTTAATTGGTATTAATTCTATACTCAATATAAATTTATGTGCTAGGTATTTATGTATTATTATTTTATTTTTATTATATTATTATTTTTAAATATTCTATTAAGTATTTTTTATTATTCTATTAATTATTAAGTAATAATCACAGGCAGAATTGCTCTACCAAACTACAGAGAACTTTGCCTGCCGATCAGACTGTGGGGTGTCATTCTACCAAAAATGAGAGGATTTGGGTTTCTCTGTGAGTTTGAGGATAGGTACTGGCACTGAAGTGTGACTGTAAAAAAGTGTGCAGCTTTCCAAAAACCCTTGAATAGGTGATGTGTATTGCTGGAGAGAGCAGATCAATGAACTTAAAACAGTGCTATCTCCTAGTTGCCCAAGAATCTCTCCATTTTGAGCCGCCGGATCAGGAGATTCAGTGCATTCTGGAGACCCTCTGACACTTGAGTCAGCTTTGAATGACTGCCCGGAAGCAATTTGAATGTGCTTGAGTATTTTATAGTCAGTGGACCTTTTGTCACGGGCTGGGGTGCTGGCCGAGAGAAAGAGTCTAAGTCCAGTTCGAGGTCAAAGCTGAGAGGTAGCCGAGATAGGAGCCAATAACAAGAGTGTTGATGTAAGAAGATATGAGTTGCCAGATTCTGATCATGTCCATCTAAATGACAGGTAACAGCCTTCCACGCTAGCAGCTCTAGCTGGAGCAAACAGGTTCTGACTGGCACTTCAGTAGCAGTCAGAGTGACTCAGCAGCAAGTGCTGATTGGTTGACTTTTGTATATAAGCATTCTATGTACAGTCCAACTTCTCTCTCTGATGTATACTGGTGTTTGGCGAAGCACTTTATCAGTTGGATTAATGATTCGTGTATACTTGCACCGCTTAACAGGACTTTTGTAAATAAACCTTGTATATATTCCTCCCCACCTAACTGTGTGGACATTGGACTCTATGGGACTTGGCTCAGCACCATACTGTGCTACTCTGCTCTGGTGTTAACTCACCAGCCCCTAACACTGCTACCGAACAAAGAGTGCAGGCAGAGAGAGAGAGAGAGAGTCCAAGTCCAGTCCGAGGTCAGAGCCGAGAGGTAGCCGAAACAGGAGCCAATAAGACTCCAAAACACAATTCAGGAGCGGAGTCGTTCAGAGCCGATGTCGAGGAGCCAAGAGTTCAGGACAAGGGTAGAGACCGAAAACACGGGTGGGGTGGTTGCAAAGCGTCGTCAGATTGACTAGATGCTGCCACAAGGAACAGGCGTTGAGTGGGGAACTAAATAACCCTCAGCTGCTGCTGCTAATTAACACTCATCTGCTAAAACTCAGGGCTGAGTGAGCGTTTGACCCGAAGCCTGGACATCAAGTCCTGACGGAGTCGGTTCCTCAAACGCGCAATCCACGGAGGCTAGTCAGGGGGGCTGTGTGCTGCTGATGTGGGCGGCCTTGGCAAGCTCTCAGCCTCCGATGCATGATCAAGGCCAGGTAGGGGTTCTGCTGAAGATGGGAGCTCATCCTCGTCAGCACTCATGACACCTTTTGATTCTCTTGGTTTTACTGTTGCTTATGTCTTCTCCGGTCCCTGAACTCTCCAGTTTGCACCTTATTCCTTCCTGTGCAAATTATCCCATTCTAGGCTCACTACAACCTCACAAGGGGAGTCAGCTTTGTGGCTTTTTTCCTATGCAGATGTCATCATTGTTGCTGCTATTACCCTCAGTGCCGATCCCTCACTAGCTCTTCAACTTAAGATGTGATCAAAAGTATGCAGATAATTAGGAACCACTGCCTGCCAGCACATACCCCACACAAATGCACAATTCATGTTGTGTGTGAAACTAATCTCAGATTGTGGAGAGATGAAGCTGTGTGTGTGTGTGTGTGTGTGTGTGAAGTTCCCTTCAGCCACACATAGTGTGGCTGAAATTGCCCTTTTTCTTTCTTTCACTCCTCTCACCCCATCTATTCTTTCAGTGTTGTTGTTTTTTTAAAAGGAGGCTCACTCACAACTTTAATCCTAGGGTCTTTTGGCTCACAAAGTAGAATTTTGCTTGCAAGACTCTGCAGCTTAGAAGGAACACTGACACATACCACAAAAAAACCCCACCATCAACAATTACTCACCTGGGCAAGGAGGAATGCTTCCAGCGACCAACGTCTGTTCCACATCCTGGTTCTTGGCCTTGCAGGGTCCAGGCGTTCCTACCTGGGGACTCAGACTGGCCACACCAGAGGTTTCTGCCTTGATTCTCACAGGCTGAGACTTTACAGCAGCCTCTCCTGGAAGGCAACCAAAATAGTGGAAAAAAACCCAAAGAACTCCTTTGCGGCATTCAGTTTAATATTGACCAAGACACTGAACCTGATTGACATAGTTACCTGTGGATCAGAATTACAGGTATGCTCTTTCCACACTTATTTTTTAAATTTTATTTTTGTAATTTTTTTGCACATTTTCCAACAATAAACAGAGTTCAATGATAGTACATAAGCGTTTTGGAACAATTAAAATAGTAATAACAGTGTAGAGAGCTAGATTAGAAAATTCTCAATATTTCTGTGAACTATACTGAACAGACTATTAAGAGTGAAAACTCTGTATTAATCTACAGAATGAACCTTTAGGGTGGTAGAACAAAATCTAGCAAATCTGACTGACTCTAAGCAAAAACACAGCTAAACATTGTAAGTGGTGTTGTAGTATAATATCTATTAATACATTAAGTCTACATATGCTGAGTTGTGAGACTGAAGGTCAGAGGCAGTAAAGAATTCCATAAAGGGGAACCATTTCCCCACAAAGTTAGTAGGTTTGGGATATACGATCAGTAATTTTTTCCAGGATGACATAGTCCCAGGACTTCGCTGTACCAAGAGGATCAAGAGGGTGCTTGGCTGGACTTCCACACAGATGCTATCGACGTTTTAGCAGGTACTATGAGGCTGGTAATTATTTCGCACCCGATTGACGGTATGTCAGAAGATTTCCATATGTCTAGAAAGAGTAAAGTCAGGTCAAGTGGAATGGAATATCCTGTGATGAGTTTTATTTGGTTTAAGACGTCTTGCCAGAAAGCCTTAATGTGTGGGCAAAAGATCCCACTTTTCCGCATTTTTTCCAGCATAAAGGAGAATGCAACGAAGTCATTTTGGAAAGCTTCTCAGGTGTAAGGTACCAGAGAGAGATGATCTTGTAGGGTCTGTAGCTTTGTTGAGAGGACAGGTGAGGTCAGCAATTTGGAGGTCCAAACTTGGGACCATTGCTTGTCTGAGATGTTGGTTCTGCAGTCATTTTGCCATTTACGTTGGTGATTTAGTGGTTTGTCACCATCCTGACGGATTAGGATGTCATATGTTGTTGTAATTGATCCTTTAGAGTTGCTATGTGTAGTACCGATAATTTTTTCAAAGGGAGTTAGAGGTGTCTTCATAATGTGTGAGATGTCAAGATGCTGCAGCATGTGGTTTAACTGGTGATTTAAAAAAAAAACCAAGGAATGCTGTTCTGTATTTTCTGTTCTAAGATCAGCTTGGGCAGTAGACCATTTGAAGTTGCGATGTTTAATAAACGAGACATGTTAGCTTGTCTCCAGGTGATGGCTAATCCTGTGTCATTCCCCAGAGGAAACCATGTCTGGGAGAGAAAGGAAGCAAATCTAGAATATTTTGGGACTAAAAGGTGTCTGCAGGAGTCCCAATTTTTTAAGACAGCTACCAGGAACACACTCTGATTGGTTGAGATTGGATGAGCTCGAGGTTCAGTCC